GGGGAAAGGCCGTTAAAATCATAGATTCCGGCCGCAGCAGGTCGGGTGATGATCGCTTCGGTGTCGATCGGGCACGTTACCAGCTAATGTGCTAGGGTTAAGGTAAATAAGGCAGAGGGATGCGCTTCCAGTGAAGGAGGGGAGAAAGTGGGGGCTGCCACCTCTCCAGGTCTTGAGGGAAATGTTTTTTGAAGATTTGAGTAACTAAAGTGAATCTAGTCAACAAATTTTCACTGTATTTTTATATTCTTTATGTTTTTTAAGTGTTGCAGTTCACAAATAAGGTTGTTACGCAGTCAGCTTAACACTTTACTAACTGCATTCCTTTTCTTTATATTTCTTCAGCCTGGTGGAAGACAAATGGTGACGTGAAAAAGAGTGTGTGCCTTGAAAAATGAAGGGGAGGTGGTGCTTAACAGGCCGGCTGTCCAAGGGAGCTTCAGCCATCTTGTTAACTCGAAGTGGTGCGTTACACTGAGTATCCACACGGGCACCAGACACCTTTGTAATGCTGCTTTCTGAGTAGGTGATACAATCTTGTTCTTGCAAATACCTTATTCGGTCTTTGTGGGTGTTTTCCCAGCCTGCCACTGGTGTTGCAAAGGTGGCTGCTGTGGCATCTTTGTGTCATTAGGTGGCAGAGAGAGACAGGCTATGTTCTACGCTCGTTTGTTCTGAAACCCGTGAGCACTCAGAGTGATTGATAGCCTGACATTACTTATAAACAGACTGGTTAATAGGAGACTCTTCAGAAACTAAGCCTTCCCTGTATTTTTTTAATTTGCCTTAAATGCGAGATCCATCTGAAATGGAATAGAAAGGTGTCCTGTCTGACCTGTAGTGGATGTGCAGCAGAAAGGCTGTGTATGGCTTTCGGATTGTTTAGCCTTGAAAACCTACCAACAGGTAGGATCCTGTTGGTACGTAGACTTGTATTACAGAAGAATGAGTTGACCTGATCTGCCTAAAGCCACTTGGCAAGTTGGTGACATCACTGCAGTGTGTGCTGGCAGCCCCGACCCTTTTCCTATCTGACAGTAAAAATACTTGTGCTGTGCATTTATTTCTCCGGCTTCCCTCTCCTGCTGGGCCTTTGAAATGTCTGTTATCAGTGAAACACTAACCATATAATTGGTCTTCTAAGTGTTTAAATACATAAAATAAATGCCGTGTGTATCTTCCCCTTGTTTTTCAGAGAAAGCCGTGTGACGTGGCAGACCCGGGAGGCCTTCTCAAAGAGCTGAGGTGAGCCGCGGTGGATGCCAGCTCCGCTGCTGAGCAGCTCCGTGCCCCAGCTCGTGTTGCAGATGTGGCTGCAGTGCTGTGTCTGTGTCATTAGGTGGCAGAGAGGAAAAGGCGATGTCTTTGCTGGCGCTCCGAAACCTGTGAGCGCTCGGGAAGGATGAGCAACCTGACAATTGTTTCTTGCTTTTCCTGTGGTTTGTTTTTCCTTTAATGTTAACCTTAGATCATGAAGGATGGACAGCTGTGGAGGGACAGAGTACAGAAGCTGGCCCTGCCCTTCAGTGCGACAATCATTCCCTTAATGAATAACTTGTTGATGTGACAGATAAAGACATGAGACTGACTTTTCTCCCATTGTGTTCTATGTTTTAGAAGTAAAACTTCTGTTTTACTAACATTCTAACTATGTTAAAAGCTAATTCAGGTTTCTGGTATATCGTATCTTTTACTGTCATGGAGGAATGGTAAACTCCAGGATTTATTCTAACAGTCTGAGTCCGTGGCGGTTTTGCTGCCCTGATGTGTTAATGTCATTAGGGGGCAGAGATGAAGGGGCTTCCTGTGCCTGCAGCTTGCAGCTGCTCAGAGATCAGCAGCTTGACGTTGTTTCCATGTGCGCCTCTTTCTCCAGAGAATCGGCGGAAGATGAAGCAAATTTCCTTTGAAAAACAGCTAAAATGATGCCAGTTTTCAGTGCATCAGGGGAAGGTCCTATCCTTTTTTTATTTTTCTTGCAAGGACAAATAGAAGTGACAGATCTATTCTTCAATTCTATTTTTGCCTTCAGCAATCCTTCATGGCCTGCAAGACGTCCTTGCTTGCCGCCTGTTCTGTCTGTGAAAGGGCACCTCTTGAGCTTTGCCGGGTTTAGCATTATGTAGATACCCAGAACTGCACCTGGGAGTGGAGGAGAGGGGGGAAACAGGCACTTAAGTTCGTTGTTTCCAAAGTATTGGCATGATCTAGAAACAGTTGGGTGTGGATTTAGCACATGGAGAAAACTGCACCCTCTTTCCCACACAAATCAAACGCTCAGCGAGCGACATCTTGACTTCCAAGGGCGCTGGGTAACTCTGACCAGAAGGTGCAATCAGCAGCCTTGTGAAATGAAATGCTGCTTTATAATCATGCTGGCATGGAAGAGGGGGGAGAAAAACAACCAAACCAACCAGCCCTTCTCCCAAAACCATCAAACTGAAGTACTTTTTCCTTCTTACAGTTACTTTTGAGAGCAGGATGGAGTTCTGGAACGTGCTTCAAATGCTGAAGGTAGGTATGATGTCATTTCTTGGAAACGTGTCAGTGTGTTCCCAAAACAGTCGGTGTCTGGGTAGGAGTCCTTGGGTTGGTACGTCTTGTCCTTCTGACTCTTGTGGGACATGGACAAATAAAAAAATAAAGTGCTACTACTAGTGCATACTTGCAGAAAGAACTTAAAATTCAGGAGTTTTTTTCATCTTTTTTGCTGACAAAGCTCTGCTTCAGGTGGAGCGCTCACAGGTTCCTTTATTCTGCTCGTGCAGTAATTTTTGTAAGCAGTCTTAATCTTCTGATGAAGTTTTTTATTTGCTTCCTCAGGCTGCCTTTCTCGGCTCCCAGAGCGCATCCTTTAAAGGGAGGCCGTCAGATTATCCGGACAGGCTCTCGTGCCTCTGCGGTCTGACACAAAGCGCTACTGAATGTTTGTCACAGATGTGCGAGGTAATGAGATTGTGTCTTGGGCATAATGAAGAAAATAAGATTTATTTCAGTAATCTGAGCAAAGAGTTAAAGTTAAAACCTGAAGTGTCTAACTTAAAGTCCTAAACTGACTTCCAGTAAGTGCAGCAGCGGAGTGCTTCACCCTTTCCCCAGACACAATATGGCTTCCTTGTGCACCGTGTGTAACACAGCAGACAAAAAGCAAAAATGTAATTGGGCACAATGTGACTATTTTTTAAGTTGTTTTCTGCTGTGTTTATTTGCCAGCATGATAGCAAAGGAACTTGACCTCCCTGGCAGCAAGCTGCTAGGGAGCGCGGGCATCGTGTCCCCCCCCAGCCCTGCCTGCCGCTGGCCTGGGGTGAGGGGCTGCACGGGCACCCTGCTCTGCCGGCGTTCCCAAAGCAAGCGGTGGGAGAAGCTCGGGCTGCACACAGACAGCGCTGTGCCACTGGGAGAGGCTTTGCAGTGACTAAGAGCTTGACAAAATCTGGCAGTGCTAAATAGTGGAAAATGTCCTCATTAAGTGGGCATTATGAGGGCCAAAGGTGCCATTAACCAAGCGGGGAGCTGCTGGCTGCAAAATGAGCCATTTAATTGGGAAAAGTCACTGCCTACCAGCAGTGGCTTTGGAAAAGAATGCTAATAAGGTTGTTGGGAATACGGTTATGCAAAGAGGCATGCCTTAAGATGTGACTCTTCTGTTTAAATTTCCGGACTTCTTTTAACCCTGAAATACATATTTGAGATTTTTCATCAGACTTTACTCAGATCAAGGGTCCTGTAGGGGCAGCGAGTGCCTAATGAGTCTCTTGTTAGAACTTTACTGTGTGAGGCACAGGATAGCTGTTAAAATTTTCCTAATGGCACTTGCTGGTAACCATCTTCCCAAGGCAGAGCAGCAGTCCCAGGCTATGAGTATTGCTTTACTGAACAAATTGCTTGGCTTTCAGCTGTGGAAAAGACAAATATTTTGCATTAAAGTGGCTTTGAGAGAAATTCAAAATATTTCTGCACATTGACTTAGCCCTTCACCATTTAGAACTTCTTTGTTATGGCTCTGAATGCTGGAACAAGCCCAGCTTTGCTTTCTTTGCACTATTAATAGCTTGCCTCTGCATTGAGGTTGGCAAATTCACCTTTGATTTTTAGGGAGCCTAAGAGTGAAAGACTAACCAAGAGCAGGCTCCAGCTATTGTGCTGTTAAATTATCCCTTTCCCAGACGTGCCAGAGCGCGCTGGGCCTAGCTGGAAGATCTCCCCCCCCCTAAACCTTTCAGATCTAATGTCAAAGAACCTCTCCTAAATTAGTCTGGTTTAGTAGTGCCATCTGCCTTCTGTCACTGCTTTAGCTCCTGATCCACACAAGTTTGCAGGCACTCGGCCTCCACTGGCTGCGGTGAATACAGCCGGCACGAGTTAAGGTGTTCCTGTGGTTCTGGACTGCAGTGAATCGCTTTCTGAAGCTTCCCTGTGACTCATTGTAACCCAGCCCAGCTAACGACTTCCCTAAAATTTAGTTTTATTTTATGAAGCTTTTTTATTTCCTCTGGGATGTGAAAAATCTGTGGATGGTCCCAAGACAAACCTGATGCAATTCATCAATTGGCTGGAAATGCTGCCTCTGAAATTAAAAGCAATTCTCTGTCCCGACGAGCTGCAGGGCCTTAGCTGGGGTGCTGTGCACAGCGAACAGCAGCAGGCTGGATGGTGTGAATTAACCAGCTTCTTGGTATTGGCGTGTCTTGCTAACTTGTGCTGACTCTATTCAAAGTTGTCTTAACATCCTTGGCCTTTTTATATTCGCAGATCATGCCGCGAGTTCCAGAATTTCTAGCAAACCTGGCTACAGCAATAGAAATGGCTGGCAGCATCTGCTCCCCAAGATTCCTAAAGGCTCCTCTTTTCTGAAGCGTGGGTTCAAGCACAGTGCAGCCAGTCAAAGTGCGTGCGATGCTGCTCGGGGTTCTGAATGTTTGCTGCCACCCGTGTACTCAAATGTCAGGTTAAAAAATACAAGTGGTTCTGCTCCCAGGGTCCTTTCTGCTTTTGCTGTACTCCCGTCGAATAGCCGTGAGAGTTGTGATCTTGCCCTTCTCCCAGTCCTCTCTTGCTCATGTGCTGTTCTCACAGCCGTGTTCTGAAGCACTGCTGTTTCAATCTGTTTGCTCTTGCTGTTAAGAAGGATTAAAAAAAAAAACCCAAACCTAAATAAAGATTCCACCTACAGTAAGTCTGAGCTGATTATTCTTGTGTATTTGTAGCACCCCAAGTAAAATCAATTTTTAACCGTTCTAGGATATAAGACTTTTATTTGTGGGTATGAGAACTGGGATGGTTTTTTTACTTTAAACAACGAAAGGCAGAAGTCTTGCTGCTTACCTCTGTCCCCTTCTAGCACAAAGCTGTGTGAGCAGCATCGGGCGAGATCAGATTGTCAGTCTTTCGGTGTTCTGGCTCTTCCTCTTTCCAGCTAATGTTCTGGAGAAGGCGTAAAATAGCTTTGCCTTTAGTCATTTTTCTCCCATATTGCAGTGTAGCTTGTAAACCATAAGCACGTGTCTGAGAACACTTGTGCTTTTTATTAGTGATGAACAAAACTCGGTGCTCTTGGGGCACTGCTGGGCTGTGCAGATAATAACGTGGTGATGAGAGTTCTGGCCAGATGTGTCTTTATTTGGGTAAAGCTCTCGTGGCTGGTTCTTTAAAGTCCAGGGGCTGTCTTTCTCCTTCAACTTCATCTTTCATCATAAATGCTTAAAGAGATTCTGATATTTATGGTTATGTGGATAAGCACAGAACAGGATTTTCCTCTTTTCTAGGTGCTCACCTGCTGCTTCATCTCATACTGCTTTGGGGGAAGGGCGCAGTGGGGATTAAGTGAATGCCACTTTCTGGACAAAATGTACTGGTGGATTTCAAACACAGAGGGGAAGGTGAAAAATGGCTTTCCTGAAAATCTGCGGAGAGGATTTGGCACGGTTGTTAGGTGCCTTTTTCTAATAGCAGAAGAAAAATTAATTTGTCAGTGGAGCTGGTTGCCATGGGAGTGCAGGACAATAGGCAGGAGCTGGGGTGGCTGCCTCATTGCCGGATCCCAGCCCTGGCTCCCGTGCCGGTGAAGGCCTTCGCAGCGCTCGTACGGAGCCAGGCACGACTCCGCGGGGCTGAGCTGGCCGCCCTTCCAGCACAGAAACCTCGCAAACGCTCGACCCGACCGCTGATGGATGACGCTGGGAAGCCAGCTCCTCTGCGGGAAGCGAGCTGCGCTGGCTCCGTGCTAGAGCACTGCTGACACTGAAACCTTCCCTCCATAAATAATAGTGAGAGGTAATGATGATCCTATAGAACTAATAGGAGGAAATACTGGTGCCTCGCCTCCAAAGGGCTCATAAATTTGCAGCCATGACGCTACTGCATGCCTCCCCAGGCTGTATGTACTGTCAGATGGGTTTTTTCGTAGTGGTTGGACTTCAGATACGCACTCCACGAAGCGATGGCTGGCAAGCGCACCGGCATGCGCTCCATCAGCAGGAGTGCGACTGCTGGGAGCAGAGCAAGCTCGGGGTAGTTTACATGAACGCTTCCTCTCTACTTGTACTTTTTAAAGGCTGTTACAATCGAGCGTTTAAAGGAAACAGACTGTAGTTAAGAGACCTGGTAGCATGTACGCAGCCAGACAAATTTCTTGAAACCTGCTGATAGTTTGCCTGGGAATTCATTTTAATAACGGAAGAAGCACTGGATTATTCTGGTATTAATCTTTAACCTCTGCACTGCAAGCTCAGCTTCGTTTTAGGAGAATTAAACCGAGAGGTTGGCTTATCCCTGCTCTAAGTATCGCAGGCGGTAGCACACGGAGCGCATTCGGTCAGCGGTCAGGATTGTTTGTGTCGTAGCCCTTTTCCTTTAAGCTGTTCTTGGCCCTGGATGCTCCCAAAGCCGACACGCGAGAGGGAACGGCCGTGCTGCCGATCTCAGACCGCGGGCGGGAGCAGCCGGGGGGGAGCCTCACTCAAGCCATGGCATCGCTGTCTGGGGTCAGGCACTTAAAAAAACGAATGAAAGACTCGCCAGGATTCTCGGCTGGGGAAAAGGCAGTTTGTCTGCTTCCTAAGTTACAGCTGGGTCTGACGGGGGATGACTCAGACACTTCAGCAGAGACTTTTGAATAGGGAAATCTACCTTTTCCTCCCTTTTAGAGCACAAGCAAGCTGGTACTTAAAAGGCTGCTGTTTTGCCATTGATGTACTGGTGTGATTCACGTAAAAGCTCTTTATTTACATCAGACGTTCATCAAAAGAAGATGTGACAAGTACAGCATGAATGATTCGCTCTCATCTCTCTGCGCTGCTTTCCTGTTAACTGAGAAACAGTTCGACGCGTCCAGCTGGGCTCCGCTTCCTTACCGCTCGCCGTGTCGTCTTCCTCCCCCAAGCCCGCTCAGCCCGGCTCCCCGTGTCCCAGCCCCGCAGCACACGCTTGCCGACTGTGTCGATGGTCCCGCTGGGCGGTGGAAGTCATGATGCTCGGTTTTCCATGAAGGAGAAGGGGCTGCCGCTATGCTCAACTCCCTGCGTAGGGGGTGTGTTTCCTGCGGGGGAGACGATGGAGAAACAGGCCTTCAGCCCTTGGACTTTACTCCAAGATTGCAGGTGCTAAACTCCAGGGCTGCGCTTCCCTCCGTTAGGAATATTTGGTGTTGGAAATCTTCTTCCAGAGCAGGGTCTTGAGGTTGTTCAGCACGAGGGAGTGGTGCACTTCCATCTGGCTGGCCAGGCCGCTGAGGGTCATGCAAGTTCGGAGCTGCTTCTGCAGCTCTTCTCTCAGCTCCGGCGGTGCTCCGTACAGCAAGTAGTCCTGCAGCAACCCACAGACCTTCGCCAGGTTGGGCTGCACCACGTCGCTTTTGCACTGCTTCATGAGTTTGTCGCACGTCGCCATGCAGTCCTTCCCGTAGGTGCAGTCCACGTTCTGCTCACAGTGACGTCCCTTGAGGAAACCTCGGATTGTCATCTCCGTCGCCACCTTCCTCAGGTTGACCATTTTGAAGTCGTATTTGTCGTTGTAGCCCACGTTCTTAAAGCCGGTCTCGCAGATGTAGAAGTTCCCGTAGGTCCCATGGAATATCTCCTCCACGAACTCCAGAAGGCCGATGGAGATCTTTGCCCGCCGGGGCCACGCTGGTGCAAACCACTGGTGGACGATTTGGTGGACGACCGAAGGCAGCAGCGATTGGAGGAAGGGGGGTACATCCACTCCGTAGAGGGAGGTGTGGGGGATCTTCTCAGTGACGTAGAGGTCCCCGCAGTGCCCCAGCAGCTTGGAAGTGTGCTCTTTCTCGTGCAAGGAGAGCATCAGGAGAAACTCATTGAGCTGAAGTAGCGCCCAGATGGATTTGGCCTCTGCTAAAGACACTTTCCCATCCCGGTTCACATCTGCCATGGCGATGATCCGGCTCACCAAGGCTGCGAGGGAAGGCTGATCTCCCAGATTGGCCTGCGAACAGAACAAGAAGTGGCAGCAGACCCTTGCAGCTCTCTGCGTTCGGGCTTCGTATCGCAGAACTGAGCTGGGGAAGCGAAGACCTGAGCTCGGGAGCGGAGGGAGCAGCCGCCGCGCTCCAGCAAGTTCGGTGCCATGCCACAGCGTACGGTCGGACGGATCCAGCTCCAGCAGAATGCTACCAGCCTCAGCGCTGCTCTAGACCCAGGTGGGAGCAGGCTATGGAGAGCAAAGGCTGGGCAGCAGTGCTGCCCCACCGCTGCGGCAGTGCCAGCACTGCCAGGGCCGCTCATGGGCTGGTGAATGAGCTCTGCCCAGCGCCGAGGCCACCCGCAGCCACCGTACAGTGGCCACCAGGGTTGCTGCCATTAAAACAGCTCCTCAGATGAGGGGCTACTGGAGAGTGGCCAGAGGACTACAAGGGT